ACGGTCAGCTGTCCGGACTGCATTCGCATATCTGCGCAAGCATAACTTAATCAGCATCCGCTGCATAATTCAGTCCATAAAATTGACGAGCCTGGCCCGCACGTGTGACCGGCGGTGCGGACCGGCGCTTCTGTCGGCGCCGCGCCGCGGCCAGCCGGCGTTGGATATTCATTGGCGCGTCGTCAAAAACATGTCGGCAGTCACCATTTCTCGGCGGCGATATTTCCATGCCACATTTTATGCATGCAGGCTGCAGAGTTTCCAAGTATGCGGGATGATGCATGTTTGTCAGCGTGCGCCATCCACAACTGCGCTTGTCAGCTAATGCATCTTGACGGCTGGCGGCGGCGGACCGGCCGGCGGCCGCCGCTGGTGACGGCCGTCAGAGCAGTGGGGCTGCTGCAGTTACACCGCCGCTCACCAGAGGGGCACTGCCACGGACGTCAGATCAGTGGACCTGCTGGAAGAGGTATACTACCGATCAAGAGAGAGGCACGGGGTACACAACAGGCTACAACCTCTCACAGCAGCACACGTCGGTGCACAGTGAATGTCAACATGTCTAAAAGCGACATGTAATTTGAATTTCAAATGACCTTTTCCCTCGATGGTTAATTAAAATTGCAATAAAATGCAAAATATTTCTATTTCTATTTCAGCAACTCAACTATTTCAGCAACTAAAATTTAGATGAATTATTACGAAATCAAATCAAATTAAATTAAACAACATAGGTACCACTTCATGTATAAAGGTTATTTATTTGTATATGTCACTGTCTTACAGGCATGAGAACCTTGTTTAGAAATGATAATTTGAATACCATTCCAATTATCACTACGGAGTAGGAGTTGAGGCACCTAGATCGACTGCGACGACTCCGATTCCGTCTCTGGTAATTGCCATGACGCCGGATCACGTTGACTTCGACTGCGGCTTCAACTTCGAAGGCCTAGTTGCCTATAAATTTTTAAAATGTTTTGTAAACTAGCGGAGTGACTTTTGACAGTGAGTTTAACATAAACATATTGATATGATATATACCCATAGGAGGCGGAACGGGGAGGGCACCGGGGCACAGTACCACCCTTTGATTTTGGCATTTTAACATTAGCCCTATGGGCGTTGCATGAAAAGAATGGGACCAAAAGTCGGCAGTACCCCCCCCCCCTTAATTGAGGGTGTTCCGTTGCTACTGTATATACCTATAATAATTGGACCCATCTCTGTTAGGTATCTGTGATGAATTTTTTAAACTTTCAAAACGTTATTAAATGCTCGCACTCCGGGTTTCAGGTTTTTGCGCTGAACTCGCAAAGAACTAAGAAGTCGCACCTCTCTCATGAGTCGATGGGTCGATTGCTCAGCGCAGCTATAGGCAGCAGAGCAAAATAAATACCATTCACACTAAAAATGAAGGGTGATCATGCAGTGTTTATAGTGCAGGTACACACTACACAACACAATTATTAAGTGTAGGATCAGGCATTCTATAGTTTTCGGCCCTTACAAGTTACCTCACCGGTTGCGTGCATGGTAAAAAGATCCATTTTCATGGCTTAGGTGTCCAGTGTTCATGGCTTAGGTAACTCTATCTACCTACCTGCTTTGGACGGTTTTCTTACAGTTTTACACTTTTGGTCTGGATCACTAAGACGGCATGTTTGAAGCGCCCGGCGCGGTTGCACAGCAGCGATTGCATATTCTGGAGTGCACGATATATCGCAAACGCCTGTCCGTGTGGTGTCGCCATATAGCTACCGTCGGCCGATATTCAGATATGTGCTGACGGCCCTTTCCCGTTGCCATGTGAAAGTGGTCGTTCTCACCCGGAGTGCGACACCTTCCGCGATCGGTCGGATCTGCGCTGATGATTGATTTACTATCCACGCCGGCGTGCTCAGAGGCCGTGTTCGGCGGCTGCGGATGCATAATACATCCTGCGCGCCGGAATGGCCGCGGACGCCGCGCCGGCACCGGCGCCGTATCAGACAGAGCCATCGGAGGACGTTCTCACCCAGAGCCCCAGAGCACTGCGGCGAGACTGACGCACCCGGCGCACTGCCGCGAGTCTGACGCACCCGGCGCACTGCCACGAGTCTGACGCACCCGGCGCACTGCGGCGAGACTGACGCACATGGCGCGCTGCGGCGATTCTGACGCACCCGGCGCATTGCGGCGAGTCTGACGCACCCGGTGCACTGCGGCGAGACTGGCGCACATGGTGCACTGCGGCGAGACTGACGCATATGGCGCACTGCGCCGACACTCACCACCGGCTGATCGGTGGTCACCTGGAAGGAACGAATGACCGTCGAACAACCGGCGGGTCATCTCCGTCACTGGACGGGTCGTCCTCTGTCGAACGGCTGCTGAGAGAGCTCAGGGAATCGGCGAGCTACGGTGCGTGGCAGACCGGCCAAATTTTCAGGTTTATGTTGCGGCAGGCGCTGCAGGAATAGATTACACTGGTCTGCGTGATTTATAAGGTCAATGGTTTCTCAACTGTTTATAGGTCAGTTTTTCACGCTGATTCCGGAAATGGAATCCGTTTTGCTCGATTAGCTCGATTTTAAGATACGTCGTTTTGCTCATATGTTCAAAGCTATGCTGATTGGCTTAGTATAGTTAATCACACAGAAGCATACATATGTTTAAACTGCGAACCACGGTGACTATAAATAACTGACCCACTATAAGTGAATTCCGATTACAGTACACAAGCACTGCTATGACACAAATGGCCTTTTCACGGATTTTCGACTGTGTTGAGCACATGGGACGTCCCTCTTCAAGCACCAGCAATAGTCCGCCAGGAAGTTGACGTCCCACCGACCCTTATACCGTTTTTCCATCACACTTTGTGGCCACACAGTCTTTGTGGAAACATTCTACCTGCTCTTCACTACAATCACCAGTTTTCTGGGAAATAATCGAGATGGGACCTAAAAAAGTGCAAAATGTATCAGCATGCCCACTCCAATGTGCATATTAATGCATCGGTGTGTATCCTTGACATAGTGTGGGAGCTCGAGCTAATCGAGAAAAATGGATACCTTTTCCGAATTCGGCACACAAAACTTGCATCAGAACAGTTGAGAAATCTTCCATCTTTGGGGAAAATGCATCAGTATGCCCACTCCAAGATTCATATTAATATATCAGTGTGTGAGCTGTTATCCGTGACATAGTGTGAAAACTGGAGCTAATCGAGAAAAATGGATAGCTTTTTTGAATTCAGCACACGAAACTTGTATTAGAACAGCTGAGAAATATCCAACCTTGGGAAAAATATATCAGCATGCCCACTCCAGTGTGCCTATAAATGCATCAGTGTGTGAACTTTTATCCTTGACATAGTTCGAAAACTCGAGCTAATCGAGAAAAATGGACAGCTTTTTCGGATTCAGCACACAAAACTTGTATAAAAATAGCTGAGAAACCTCCGACCTTTTGAAAAAAGTTTTGAAACGCAGGCCAGTGTTATTTGATTGCTTTCTGAGAGATGTGGATAGACGAATAGAATGCAAAAGAAAGAGCTGGAGCAATTGTTCAATTAAATATGCTTTCAGGTACTGGAGCTATCAGGTATCAAACATCGATAGTTGTATCATACAGGCTTCATTCCAATGCTGTGGTACATTTATGTCAAAAAGGTCTCACTTTTCTATCGCCATATCATCGTCTTCCGTCCTCGCCTTCCTCAGGACAAATCCGTCCGCATATCCCTCACGTCTGCCTTTCCGGGCTGGCGTTCACCCCCACCAGACAACTGATGGTGAGGACAAGTCCTCATTGGACCGCACCCTCTCCGGGGTGACCGTTTGGGCGGCAGGGCGCGCTGTCCCAGGGGACTTTCCTGTCCCACTGGGACGGTCTCTGCCGCTACGTCTCACCGTCGGTGGTCCGCACAGCCCAATGCCAATGTCTCCAGTCTCCACCTTATTCTATCATCTCATAGTTCTGAAATTGTCTTTTCAGGCGGAAAGAGCTCCCATCGTCACAAAACAAAACGAAAAATCATCACTACGTAAGCACGTTTTAGGTTGTTTCATTTTAGTTGTCATCCAACGTAGCAGGGTAGCGTTGCATTCATCAACTTCTTCGACAAGCACACTGCAATCCCCTCGAGTTTGTATCGCCAATTTTTAACACGTCCATGTTATTTTGTCATATATTCGGCACATGACCAAGTGTAATAATCGTGGCGCTTTCTAGTGGTCACAGGATATCATTAAAAAGTCCTACATGTCATCTTGCGACTTACATAACTGCACGAATGCGTTGATAAGTACCTACCCACAATCGGTGGCTGTATTTCACGCCATGACCGCTCTGAGTGAAACGCTTTGTCTGATGTATGACGTTCATATTCATAACACCACTGTGGGCACCCCTCTGATAGGAATATAAGGCTGCCCAACATCTGTTTTAATGAGAGGCTGACAATTTACTGATGGCTGCTAAGCAGGGTAAGCCAATTATGCCGATGAATTATGATGTCTGATCTCGCCATTTCGTCAATGTCAACAACTGAATGTCGGAGGAGGAACAGGGTACATCAGACAAACACAGAGCGGTCACGAAGCTGTCTGGTCTGTGTGCGCGGCCTTCCCCGGCAGAGCTGGGCCCACTCCGAACTGCCGGAGGGCCCCGGGATTCCGGGACCTCCGCCGCCGTCCGGGCGCGCGGCTAATCGCGTCTTTCTGCCTCCAGACGCCGGCCAAAATCGGGCGGCCATTTCTCGGCGCGCCGCTCATTGGCTCCCGTGCACTTCCAATCCTACCGGCCAGCTTTCTGTCGCGTCGTAAAGCGTCGGTTCTGGCAGCTGCGGCTGCAGGGGTGGCGGGCCGGCGGCCGTGCCGTGTTGCAGGCCCCGCCTCCCGGCCGCCGCCGCCCGCCGCGCCGTCACGCCGCTCAAATTTGCCAATGATTTTCCGGCACGGCGGAACAATGCGAGCAGTCGGCAGTGTCGGCGGCGGCGGGCAGTGTCTCCGGCCGCGGCGCCGCGGCGGCTCCCGGCTGTTCGACGCGCCGAGCGTGCATGGCGCGGTGCCGGCCGGCATGGCGCCCAGTGCCACCTGGCGGAGGCGGCGCCAACTAGCCGGCCGGCCGACGGCCGCCAGTGCAGTGCGCCCGCCGCTGGCGGGAGGATGGCCGCCTATGGCGCCCCTGGCCGCTGCTAGTGCCGTGCTTGCTTTCCTGCTATTCTACAACACGCTAGACGCAGACTTCGCCTACGATGACAGGTGAGTCAACTGAGCGGTGCGGCCGCTCTGTGCCACCCCACCGTCCCCCTTAGCCCCTCCCCGACCCGGCTCCTGCAGACCCCCTACCTTGCAATCTGCACAATCTATTTACATAATTCGTGATCCTCGCCAACACGTCTGGACAGTGTTCTACTGCACCGCCCAGCGCCGTGCCTGGGACCCCGCTGAGAGCCACGTGCCGGCAGGCGGTCCCCCGCTGGGAGCCGTCACCGGCACTGTCGGCCTCCGACCGCGTGAGGGCCGCCCGCCCAGCGGGGGTCGCCGCGCCGACCGCCGCCGACCGCCGCCCCCCGCCGAGCCGGGCTACCGACAGTGGTGATAGAACTGTAACGACGCGGAACGGGACTCAGCGACCCTCAGGGTAACCGTCATTGTGGGCATGATGAGCATTATAAACCGCTGCGTTGATCCGCCTCATACACATCCAGCTCGACTCAGTTATCTCGGAGCTGGCGGTCACAGATCTGACCACTCAGTCAGCCCTAGACAAATCAGTCTCGGACTGACCCAGTGCCCCATGGGAGCGGGCCGTCCTGGGTGGTGCTCTGTCGGTCAGTGGGGAGGGGTCGCGCGTGCTCTGTCGGTCAGTGGGGAGGGCAGGGTCGCGGTCGGGGCCGGCGGCGACCGTCAGCTCTCATTCAGGCCTGGGAGCCACTCATTAGAGCCTGTGCAGGCCGGATTCCGGAGACTGGGCCGCTGCAGAGCGTGCACCGCAGTACCGCCAGGAGCCGTGTCCTGCCGGCCCGGCACGGACGGGAGGGCAGAGAGGGCCGCCACTGGCCCGTGGGACCCACAGGTCGGGCCACAGTGACCCGGCCGGGTCAGACCAGGTCAGCCCGGGGAGAACGCGGCGCCGGGTAACTCGGGTCCCAAGGCACACGCGGTATGAGCTCAGGCCAGTGCGTGAATCAGTGCCGCTGGTTCTCAATAGCATACTGCGCTTAAATTATCCGGCTCTAACGATTTGATGGCGAGTAGTCAATGGACGAAACAAGCGGGTTTCTGTGTCAAGAGGGAATCCTCATGACATGCGAAGTGGTGTGTACAAACGGATTTTGGGATAATTACGCCGGCGTTACAGCGCATCTGTGCGTGATTGGATCCTTGAAACCATCCCAGCTCCGTTACAACGTTTTAACGCCGCCCTAGCTCCATGTCATAGGGGACCTATCACCAATATCCCCTGTCTACATGTCGTTTGAGATCTGCCACACAGTCCCGGTATACCCTGTCTGTGTGTGACCTGCCACCCCACTATCCTCTCTGTGTATGTGACCTGCCACCCCACTATACCCTGTCTGTGTGTGACCTGCCACACAGTCCCACCATCCCCTGTCTGTGTGTGACCGCCACCCCACAATCCCCTGTCTGTGTGTGATCTGCCACCCCACTATACCCTGTCTGTGTGTGACCTGCCACCTGCATGGCCGCATGCCGCTACCTGCATAGCCTTTCGGAGATGAGCTTTGATGTCTAGACTACGACAGTGCGACCAGTAACATGTTCGAGCAACTCGAATAAGGTGCAATGATTCAAGGCTATATGATCTTTTATGCCGAGTAAATGCGTTGGTTAATGGTTCAACATTATATTGAAGGCATATATTAAAGGCACACTTATATGTTGCTTATATGTACCTACAGGCTCACTAATTTTCATCATTAAGCACCTCATATTTTTTTTTAACAAGGAACTTCGGTGCTGCTTCTGTGTATTTTGACCCAACGGCCGCTGGGCCTCCGCGACACCTGCCAGCCGCTAGGGCAACCTGGTGCCCGCCTTACTTCTCTGATGATATCGTCGCAACACGAAGAGATAGAGAAGCGAAACTTTGCACACATATATTTATAAAACCGTAGTTGTGTTAGCCCTCGCCCGTAAACGGCGACCTGCCACCTTCGCCCATGCAGGGGGGGGGGGGGTTGGTGCGACCCCCCCTTGGCGTTTGAAAACGGAGCGTCGTAGAGCTTAGCGGAAAAAAACAACGGCTCTCGCCGAGATCTCGCGATTGGTGGTATATTTTTTGGTCCTAGGTCAACATTTGACCTACTTTTGACCGGTCAAAGGTCAAATTTTCGGAAAAATCGACTTTTTCAAATTTTCCGCGGCGATTGCGGCAAAACGGTGGGAGATATCGACTTGAAACCTTCACTATCGTGTTCCTTGATCAATTTTCTATCGTTTGGTATGTATTTCGTTTCCCTAGCTCTAAAAATGGCGCGTTGGGAGCGCCGGAAGTCGGCAAGGTCACAGTCGGCGGCAGAAATTCGAGAAATCAAAATTTAAATTTTTGAAATCTGATTGTATTTTTGGATTTGGGATGTCCATTTGCTCCCTATAGAAGCTAATATTGCTGCATATTCCCATTGAGGTGACAAGAATTAGCAAAATAGTGGTTCGGGCGCTTTTCAAAAATAGTACCGGACGCTGTTCCTCTTGTGACGTCATAGCTCCGTGACCTGACCTGACCCGGTCAAGTTTCTTATACCATATGATAGCCAATACTTGCCCCAACATGCATGGGAAGTTTCATCACGATCCATCAACCGATGTCTGTACCACCGGCAGGAAACCTCGGGCGTTGGCACTCAGTTTGTGAAAATCCGGCCGGAGGCTGTTCCCTTTGTGACGTCATAACTCCGTGACCTGACATGACCCGGTCAATTTTTTTTTATCAAAAGATGCGCAAGGTTTGCCCCATAAGGTACCCAAAATTTGGCGGCGCTGCGTGCCGCCGTTTTTGCACTATTTCCGAAAAACCTCAGGGGGGGGGGGTTGCACCAACCCCCCCCCCCTACATGGGCGAGGGTTAGAATTTGGCGTCATTCCTATTTGAAATGACGGCACAGTGACATCAAAAGTACAATTATGGGGTGGCGTTTCTTAGTTTCTCCACAATATATACGCTATAAAGGACCGAATATAATAGGACCGATCACTGATCAAGAACTAAATTGAAAATGTATGTACTTATATGTGTCAGGATGACAGCAGGTGCTGTAAAGTTTATTTACCGTCGCTTTTCATGCTCAGTGACATCAAAAATGCTTCATAACGTAAAACGACAACACTTAATGGCGTCACTGGACGTAATCTTATAGAGCTGTAACCACCAAACTTTCCTCAAATATGGCCTATGTATTCATTTGAAGCTACGCAAAGTACCAACTTCATATCTCATCATCATGTTTCGGAGACATCGCACAGAACATAAAATGGGCAACTTTATGCCCCTCAGCGGCTCGTGGGTTAAGCTATCTATGAAAAGGGAAAATAAGCAGGTCGGCCGAGCCATAACACTCACATGACTAACGGCGTGGCACGTGATGAGTTCCACGTTGAATAGTACAATGTCGATCTTCTCGACCATTAATTATACATATGTCGCTCTTTGCCCGCCCTTTTGTGTTACTTGTATGCCAGACATGATACTCTAATGCCTATTTATTTTATAGACAAGTCGTTTTATTTAGGCCTGATGGGACCAAACAGTAGCGTAGCGGCTACGAAAAGTAAATCCTTGTCCAGGGTTTTGGTTGTTATTGACAGTCACTTTCACCATAAATTTGTCTGATGAAATATCGATGGTTACCAATGGCGACTTCAGGCTTGCTACCAACTCATTTTATGTTAGGTATAGATAGGTATACAATATTGACTGTTACAATTTTCTCTAGGTATATAAAAGTTGCTACTTTATGTCTACTCTTACGATACTTTTTGTATTTTGACCTTGCTGAACAAAATTGGCGACTATTTAAAGGGACCCTCCCACCTTCAAAAAAGTTAATGAATTGGCATGAAAGTGATGTCGCTCGGTTTACAAAGAGCAAAAACGAATATCTACCAAATTTCATCGAAAAATATTCACCGGTTTTCAAGATATTAGACTTTTACTTTTGTTTACTTTTTGGGATCTCCGCTGTTCCTAGCTCCGCGACTTTATTTGAAAGTGCGGCATTTGTTGCGCGCAAAGCAGCATATACCACCGCGTGCTACAAAACGTTTTAGTCAAACATTTAAAAATCGTTAGATATCTGCGATGACGTCACACATTCAGAGGGGTATTCCTATGCATTAGCCCCTCTGAATCAAAATGCTGCAATTTTGAAATTCAATATTTCCGATTTAAGGCATTTCTCGATGTTGTGAGTGCCGAAACCGGTAATTGTGAGCCAGGGACCCCATTTTGGCTATCTCAACTCAAATCTAATGTTAAGGTGGGAGGGTCCCTTTAACAAAATTGTCAGCGCAATCATACCTAATTTAACCAAGTGTCTGAAGAAGATACTCGTAAAGCCTTCACTGGGATGACTACAGCGCAAATGGGACGAAGAGAAAAAATAACTCCTTGTGGCTTGTTGTGGAGTCGGATCTGTGAGCTCTCTGAAGAATCCACAACACGGTCGCAACGGTAGCGGCATTTTTCACTGTCTAGGGATTTGAGCAGGACACGGCTAATTTATTTACCGTCATCACAGTACAAGTGCCGGTACAGCCCCGGGTAGAAAAGAGCCGTGTTCTGGTCAGATGATGACGGAATAACGTACCGCTGTCCGTGTGTTTCGGAAAATTCTGGCGATGACGGATCTGGTGTCGTGTCCAAATTCAGAGCTTGTGAGTTGGCAGTGGACTGGACGCGCGTCGTCGCCATATCAGCTGGGCTGTTGAAGATGGTGTAAAATCATGCGCTAGGTGTTACGACCTGACAAGTCACCGGTGACCAGGGATGTGCTGGCTCCGACTGGCTACTGTCAGCGGATGCGGCTGCTTTGATCGGTAGGAGCGGGTCCTACGCGGCCCGCCAGTCGGCCGCGCTCGCCGCGCTCACCAGTACCCAGACGTTTGTCAGAGCCGGATGCTGCCTGTGCATCTCCGAGTCCGGCTCTGTAACTGCTCCGTGGCTGTGATCAGCGCGGTAGAAATTACAGTCATATGCAGATTCTGCGACTGGCCATTTTGTCCTTGGCTGGCCGGCG